GCGCCCTGCCCCGATGCTCACAGTAGGCTGGTGGCCCCGTCCCCGCTCCTGGGCGGCAAAAACCCCTGCAGCGAGCAGGGCACCGCAGGCTGAGGATGCAGCACATCACGCTAAGGCCTTTTGTCCCCACCCACGAACCCAAATATCCCCGCGTCCCCCCATCCTCTCCTGCAGCAAGGGAGCTGGTGGAAGGGAAACAGGTCCATGCTCCTCCCCGCAGCACCTGCGGCTGGCGCTGACGGAGCGCGGGCAGTGCCGCGTCCAACACCTCCGCTTCTCCTCCAAGATCTTCCACCTGGTGCCGCCGCCGGCTGAGCTGGCGCAGAGCCTGCGCCCCAGCGGGGCGGTCACGGCCCACGGCCACCGACACCGCGATTCGGACTACGAGGTGGAAGCGCCGGGCCGGGGCCACGTCCGCGCCATAGACAACCAGTACACGCCGCTCTGACGGGCGCCGCGCCAGCACCGGGATGCACTTTCTGGTGGAGAAATCCTAGAGACCTTCTGGGTATCCCATCAAGAGAAAGAATGTACTTAGTTTCTTCCTTCTGGTTAGGGATGATTATTATATTTTTGCAAGGAAGGGGGTAATTTTTCACTCCAGTACGGGTGTGCTCCCTCTCTTTGGCCTGTTAAAGGGCCTTTTATTTTTATTTTTTATTGTTATTATCAAAGCTTTTTTGTTACTGTTTACACACGCTGCTCCTGCCTGCATCCCCGCGTACCGAGCATTGCGCCGTCGGGCTCGGTCTCCCGTCTCGTCCCTGACACGACAGTGCCCAGCGAAGGAGCTGGGCGATTGCGTTACACCCATTTAATTGGAGAAAGCAAAAAAAAAAAAAAACCAACCCAAATCCAGGAAAAAAAAGAAAAAAAAGGATTATAAATTCATCGACCAGTTGCTGCTCCGGGCTGTGCGCAGGCGAGGACGAGCCCTGTCCTCCCGCCCCAGCTCGTGCTGCCGTTGCCAAACCCTCCAGCAAAGCCCGACCTGCCGGAGCTGAGCTCCCGCGTCGGGCAAAGATGACGATCGCGATCGGAGTTGGGGCTTTATTTTGAGATAAGGCAAAAACTGGCTTTTCTTGCTCCTCTTTTTTTAACCTAGCGCAGTTGCAGTCACGTGAACACTAACTGCTCCATCATTAATAATGTCACTAGCCGAGGGCTAACGCGGAGACTGACAGCGAACCACTCCTCCCAGTGATGGGGGTGTTCTGTCGCGGTGGTGGAGGTGTTTTATCCCTGTGATGGGGGTGTTTTATCGCGGGAATGGAGGTGTTTTATCCTGGTGATGGAGGTCCTCTATCCCACTGATGGAGGTGTTCTATCCCAGATGATGGAGGCGTTTTATCCAGGTGATGAAAGCTTTTTATCCCGGTGATGGAGGCATTTTAGGCACAAATACAAAGAGGGCTTTTTTCCCCCCATTTTTTTTACCTCACCAGCGCAGGCAGCCGCCCACCCCACTCTCGCTTGCCTTCTCTCCCCCCCACCCCAAAACACCACGTAACCAAGAGTTTGGGGGTATTTAAAGCCACGCAACGGCCTCTCGCAGGCGAGGG